GACCTGTTTGTTTCCTCTCCACCTATCCTCTCCTCTATCCCTCTTCTATCCGCCTCCCACTCTCTCCCTATTTATTTCAAAACCCCCTTCCCCTCCCCCTTTTCTGATGAAGGGTCTAGGCCCGAAACGTCAGCCTCTCTGCTCCTGTGATGCTGCTTGGCCTGCTGTGTTCATCCAGCCCTGCAATCTGATATTAGATTCCTTGAGAAATCTCATTTACGACAATTATGCATTTAACAAAGCATGAACATAGGGTTCTTATTTGGCTCACCAAGCCTCTATAAAATAAGATCTTGTCCTCCAAAGATCACTCAAAATATACCCAACTTAATTTACTTGATGAAGCTTTGAAAAGTATGAAACCAAAACAGAAATTGCTGGAAATTCTCAGCTGGTCTGGCAGCAGCTGTGGAGAGAAATCAGAGTTAACGTTTCAGATCCAGTGACCCTTCTACAGAACCCTGGGTTAATTCGAACTTCTCTCCACAGATGCTGCCAGACCTGCTGAGATTTTGCTTCTGATTTCAGCACCCACAGTTCTTTGAAAAATGTGAACATTCCGAATTTTGTGTGACCTTTAGAAGTAATCCAACTAAGCTCTGGAACACTAATTCAATCTTTCAATCTAATAACGTACAACTCTCACCATTTCAATTGGGGTGTCTACAATTACTCAAATTTAGCAGCTAAGTTTGTACATGTTTTTGACTGTCCAAACAGCCTCAGATTTCACCACACTGTAATAGAATTCTTATCCTCAGGGTCAAAAAGAGCAATGCAGCATCTTTTCCTATGTTATATAGTTTCAGCTTGTTTTAAATCCGAAATCAAGTGTGCAGTTATATTTTAAGATTTTAAAATCCACACTTTTATTAGACATTACTATTTTGTGTATACTTTAATACCAAATGCGAACTTGCAACTGATTATCTAACGATCCAATAAACTGGTGATGTTCCACTGCTTTACCTGAAATTCTATTTACAGATTAACAGATTTATTTATTGTAAAATTAGAAAAAGTCCAGCATCTTAACAAAAGAGCTATCCTTGGAACTGATTAAGCTGTTTCTCTTCCTTCACTCTGTCCCATTTCATTAACAAGACAGTTTTGTTTGTGTTCGATTGTAACCCAATATCTTGCAATTATATTTAACTGCCAGACAGCTGGGCTCCAATTTGCAAATTAAAAAAATATTCATTCAAGCAACTTTTATTTTCCTCATTTCTGTTGCTATTGCTGGGTCCAAGGAACATTTGATTCTAATCCAATTCATTTAAATCAAGTTGCAGCAACTGTTTTTCCACATTCTTAGCACAGACCTTTCAAAGACAGCATTGCCACATAAAATGAAGAATTGTTTCCTAAACTCTCATTGTTCAGTTAACTTTTTCAATGGATGAAATAGAATTCATTCTCTTTCTCAATAATATTCAAGTTTGGACCTTGTGCAGGGAAGGTGATCTACAGGCATCGGAACACTAGATGTCACTATAATTTGGAAACACATACCTCTTCAACTTCACCTAGCGTAATTGGTTGAGTCTGATATCGGGAATTTGACCGTCTTTGCTTAGTATCACTTCTACTCCTTGCTGCTTTTATTTTAGTCACAGGCTGCGAAAGACGATTGAACAGAGCCATTTTTTCTGCCAGGCTGAGTGTAGACATGTCTGGTTCTTCAGGCTGGGCTTGTTCTGTCAATTCTTTGGCTTCACTTGCCTTCTGTTCTCCTGCAGCAGACTGTGCAGATGCTTGTAGTCTAGGAAGAGCATTGGTTTAATATTTAGGTCATCATTTTGCAGTACACTTACAAAGTCCCTGTCCCAAAAATGTCTCTCTAAAATTAGAACTTCACATTCATCACTTAAAATGCATGCAGCTTCCTGTTAGTTCAAAATCATTTTTTAAACCATATCATTTAGGAAAAAGTAAATATTTTATTTTGTTATAGACTTTCAAAAAGAAATGCATTTCTGTACATATGAAAATGTAGCTTGAACAATCTAATTCATTTGGGTGTCCCAGACAAATGCAAACTGAAGTTCCTAAAGGCTACACAAATAACCATAAGACCATAAAGGTATAACAGCAGATTTAGGCCATTCAGCCCATCGAGTCTGCTCTGCCATTCGATCATGACTGATCTGCTTCTTCAACTCATTCTCCTGCCTCCTCGTCCTACTGCTTGTTTTCCTCACCAATCAACAACCTATCTGTGTCATAAATACACTCAATGACTTGTCTCCACAGCCTTCAGTAGACAGTTTCACCACTCTCTGGCTGACAAAATCCTCATCCCATTGGTTCTAAAGGGTTGTCCCTTCAGTTTGAGACTGTGCCCTCGGGTCCTAGTCTTTCTCACTAGTGGAAAGATCTTCTCCCTGTCCACTCCATCCAGACCTCTCAGTATTCTGTAAGTTTCAAACAGATCCCACCCCCTCATCCTTTTAAACTCCACTGAGTACAAACCCACAGTCCTCAACCACTCTTCATATGACAAATCCTTCATTCCTGGGATCATCCTTAATAATGGACTCTAAAATCTTACCAACAATCGAGGTCAGACTAACTGACCTGTAGCTTTCTGTCTTCTGCCTCCCTTCTTAAACAGGGGTGTATAAACTAGCCATTTTCCAATCCTCTCGGACCCTCCCAGACTCCAGTGATTCCTGAAAGATAATCACCAATGTCTGTACAATCTCCTCAGCTATCACCTTTGGAAATATGGGATGTAGTCCATCTGGTCCAGGTGATTTGTCCACCTTCAGACCTTTCAGCTTCCCCGGCACCTTCTCCTTAATATTGGCCACTACACCCACCTCTGTCCCCTGACCCTCTTGAAATTTTGGTATGCTGTTGGTGTCTTTCACTGAAAATGGATGCACCTTATTGATGGTTAAAAATTCATTACACAATTATACTGGGTCACTTGACATAAATACAGTTAACTTTTTTGTATATGTTCACATACTAATGTTGTACAGGTTTAGATTTCAATGTTTGTATCAAAACACCAAGTGCGAAGGAATTAGAGTTTAATCAAACAGGTCTGAATGAAAAATGTACTACTAACATGTAATGACTGCTTAGAATCAAAGTTTAAATGACATTTTTAAAATTCTAGGTAATAACATTGTTACTGAATATGTTTTTCAGCCAGGGGACAAAAGAAGTCTTAACTATTACGTTGAAACAGCTGCTTCACAGAATGTAAGGCTGCTTGCTGAATTAGGGAATGACAGGATTTGGCCTCTGACTGGGCTATTAGAAGGTGCAGAGTGAAAGGCAAATGTACACAAGGAGGAAAAAGGAACAGTAAGTTTTGTCTGCACTTGTACACCTACAACTGCTCATGGATACATCATAAAATGACAAATAAGTGAATCAGCATCCAAACAAATATTTCATTTCTACTGTCAATTTTAATATTCAGATGCTCATTAAAGGCAGTATAGTATAAGCTTCTGGACATTTATTGATTTGTAAAATGTTTTATAATTTAAAGTTGAAGCTGTATGGGCAAACAACAAACAATATCTTTCTATAGAGCAATGGGGTTGGGGAAGTGCAGCCCTATTGCCACAACTGGTGTACAGGTACTTTCTGGAAGATTGAAAATGTAAATCTCATTCAATGAGAATATGAAAATACTAACATTGAAATCCTTTGGTTAGGCAGTAGTTGGAATATTGGGATAGTAATTGTACTGAAACTTCTCTCTCCGGTTCACTAGACAATATTTGTTTCATGCATCATACGTGTTTACAGTTGCAGCCAGCTGCCTGTGAAGCAATTTGCAACATTCTGGAAAAACAGGACAACTGCTAAATAAAAGCCTCCTTCCTGCACTTCTTCACTGAGAGGATGGTGGACCTGCGGAAGTTTCTACCACAGAAGACACACTCTGAGGCCAAATCCTGTCATTCCCTAATTCAGCATGGTGCCTGACATTTTGTGAAGCAGATGTTTCGAAGTAATTGTTAAGTCCTCAAATGGCTGTAACCACTAAGTGGATGCAAAAGTCACTGAATATATTTAAGAAATATAGATTTCTAGAGGCTAAAGGTGTCAAGAGGTACGGAAAAGTATGACGTTGAGTTAGAGAATCAATCATGATCATGCTGGAAAGCAGAGCAGACTCAATGGGTCGAATGATCTATCCCTGCTCCTAGTTTACATGTTTCTAACTAACTTGAGATCAGGACAGAATGTGTTCACACACAAAATTAACAAATCCCCAGTAGCATTTTTTGAATCTTCATCACTAAGGATTAAATGAAAAGCAAAGGACAATGGATAGATATTTTCTAGCAAATCTGTTACGAAATGTTATTCTGCACTTGTGGTACAGGTGGAACTTGAACTCAGGCCTTCTGGTCCTGAGGTAGGGACACAATCACTACTCCACAACCCTGAAACCATACTCCAGAAATATTGTTTTAGTTATTCAGTGTTTGACTCAAAATTGGTAAGTGGGATGCAATTTATTTCCCAAATCAGCAGATGGTGCTATTTAGTTTCTTGACCATACACAATATTTGTCTGCTTGACAGTTAGTCATGTCAAAATTTGTGCTCTATATTCACATCAGACCACCATTTCCTTAATTTATTGATATGGGGGTTTAAATACTGAATTTGAGGCTGCCCTGAATAATTTACTTTTATGAGCCTGTTGCTAATAAAACCCAGGACCAAGAAGAATCAGTCTTTCTGTGGAATGGGATTACAAATTGCCTCCCATCTATTCATTCAGGAGATGTGGGTGTCGCTGGCTGTGTCAGCATTTACTGCCAATTCTCTAATGGCCTTTGAGAAGGTGGTGATAAGCTGCCTTCTTGAACTGCTGCAGTTTTGGGATATATGAATACATCCAGGATATTGACCCAGCAACAGTTAAGGCAACAGATTTCCAAGTCAGGGTGCTGAGTGGCTGGGAGGGGAACTTGCAGCTGGTGGTGTTCCCATGTATCTGCTGCCCTTGTCCTACTAAGTAGGAGTGGTCATGGGTTTGGAAGGTGCTGTCTGAGGGGTCTTGGTGAATTTCTGCATCTTGTAGATAGTACACACTGTTGCTACTGAACATTAATAGTGTATGGAGTGGATGCTCGCAGATGTGGCTCTAACCAAATGGACTTTTTCTTCAACACTGTTAGTCAGTTGAAGACAAACCAAATAATCTTTTACAAGCTGTTACAAAATAAAACTATACCCTAGTTTGTTAGAAACAATAAACTATGCACCCTGCCACAAGACTGGAGGAGGAAACCAGAACAAAACCAGTGTCTTAAAACTCAGCACGCTATGTATTAATTCATAGAGTCATAGAGTCACAGAGATTGGAAGCAGATCCGTTAGTCCAACTAGTCCATGCCAGCTATGTTCCCAAACTAAACTAGTCCCACTTTCCTGCATTTGGCCCATATCCTTTCAAATGTTTCCTATTCATGTACTTATCTAAATGTCTTTTAAATGTTGTTACTGTACCTGCATCCACCACTTCCTCTAGAAGTTCATTCCACATACAAACCAATTACCTGTCATGTCCTTTGCAAATCTTTCTCCTTCCACCTTCAAGATATGCCTCCTAGTTTTGAATTCCCCTACCCTGCTGAAAAAAACCTTGGCTATTCACCTTTTCTATGTCCCTCATGATTTTACAAATCTCTAAGGTCAACCCTCAGTCTCCTATGCTCCAGTGAAAAATGTTCCAGCCTATCATTATAACTCTTATCCTCCATTCCAAGCAACATCCTTGTAAATCTTTTCTGGATCCTATCCATTTTAATACTATCCTTCCTATAGCAGGACAAGCAGAATTGTACACAGTGTTCCAAAAGAAGCCTCACCTACATCCTGTACAACTTCAACAATGATGTTCCAACTCTTATACTCAAAGGTCTGGGCATTGAAGGCAAGTGTGCTAAATGCCTTCTTAACCACCCTGTCTACATGTGACACAAATTCCAAAGAATTATGTACCTGAACTCATGGGTCTCTGTTCTACAACACTACCCAGGCCCTACCATTATCTGTATAAGTCCTGCCCTTGTTTGCATTATCAAAATGTATTACCTCGCATTTATCCAAATTAAACTCCATCTTCCACTCCTCAGCTCATTGACCCAATTGATCAAAATCTCTTTGTAACTTTAGATAACCTTCTTTACTGCCCACTTTAGCACCAATTTTGGTGTTTTCCACAAACTTACTAAGCACGCCTGGTGAATTATCATTTTTTCATTTCCTGAAGAAGGGTCCCAACCCGAAACGTCGACTTTCCTGCCCCTCTGGTGCTGCCTGGCCTGCTGTGTTCCTCCAGCTCCACACTGTGTTGTCTCTGACTCCAGCATTGGCAGTTCTTACTATCTCTGAACTGGCCAGAGACTATGTTAATTCAGACCAAGTTGGTAGGCAGAGCTCGTGAGGTGTCAAGAGACTATGAAGGAGTAAAACGGGCTATTTTGAGTGCCCATGAATTGGTACCAGTAGCACATAGACAACGGTTCAGAAATATAAGAAAGGAACTGGGTCAGACTTATGTCGAGTTTGAAAGAATGAAACAGAGCAACTTCAATAGGTGGATGACAGCATTAAAAACAGAAAAAACATATGAGGATCTTAGAGATGTTATTCTCCTGAAGGAGTTTAAAAACTCATTTCCAGAAGTCATAAGAACTCATGTTGAGGAACAGAAAGTTCAAACAGTGAGAAGAGCTGCAGAGATGGCTGATGAATATGCATTAGTGCATAAATCGAA